GCTGTTGTGCAAATGTAAATAGTGTTGTGAGAAATGCAACAAAGCCACTGAGAAAATCTGTAATTCCTATTATGCATAGGATGTAAACAGCTAGGCAACTAACTATGGTTTAAGAGCTAAGGGTGTATGCTTTAAAAGAGATTATTCCATTAATGCTAAATGACAATAAGTAACCAGCCCACAATAACAAAACTCTAGCTGTCCTGTTAAGCCAAACAGGCTTCCTACATCTTTCTCCACACTCCCAAACCAGTCCACACTTCTATCTCTGAGGTCATGGAATCTGCTGTGGTATGAATGTCTAATGCTGAACTAGCCACAGGCTTAAACAATAGCCTCTGTATGCTAGGAGAGCACTGTGTGGCATTGATGATCCACAGGCCTGAAACTTGACATCGGCAAAAACAAAATAATATGTTAGGCTCTCCAATTCACCATCACACTGTCTGAATTAATTTATTCATTTTCTTTTCGGCTTAGTCCCTTTATTACAGTTTTTCTCAGTCGCTTTGGTGCGTTTCTCACAACACTAGTGCATTTCTGCACAACAGTTAATGCATTTCTCAAAACAATTAATACAAACTGCAAAACCTAGCTGATAACCTGCAAAAAAGGGCGTCACGTGCTCAAAATGGATAGTTCATTCCTCAAAAGCAAGTATTCATGTCAATCAAAGTGTCAGTATCATCAAAATGAAAAGTACTGACACCATTGTTTATGAACAAGATAGTCAAATGGCTTTGTAATGTTTTTATTAAGACAGTTTACTCTGTAAGTTTTTTGAATGCTAAAAAGTCAGATTTTGATGGCACTTCCTGAAAATGCTCAAGACAGCACTGTATATTATTTGCACAGCCATTTGAAAACTACAGTAAAGTTAGACATCACTGCATTTAGTGAGGCATCTGAGTACAAGACACTGAATATGTATGTTTCACATTTTTACTGTATTTGCTCTTTGCAATTTTTATTTATTCACAGCATTGTGCAAAAGAATACATACATCCTTATTTACAACAAACATAATCTTTCTTTGGGTAGATCTGTGCACAACTGTAAACAATATTGCAGTTCATATTGGAACTGAACCTACAACATACACAGATCTGTAAATCATTCATGAAATTCCTCAATTTAAGACATTTTCAGAAAAATAATGATTTAAATTTTTTTTTTATATAAAATTTGCTTGACAGATTTTTACAACTAGCTCATCATTTTTGTATGTAATGACTCAAGTAATGAAATGAGGACTATTAGTTTTATATGGAATGACTATTCAGCATTTACAAGTTTGGTTAATTTTGACTGACATGACATAAGCAAATAATAATGTTCTAAACAGCAGAGAGTTGTATGGAAGCAATTGATGCTTGTCCAAAAGCATTTGCAATTTGTTGGAAGGAATGAGAAACTGCTATTATGATGTGCACAAATGACTAATTGTTTTGAGAAATGCATTAACTATTGTGCAAATGTAAATAGTGTTGTGAGAAATGCACAAAAGCGACTGAGAAAAACTGTAATCTGGGGTCACCGCAGTGGAATGAACTGCCAACTTATTCAGCACATGCTTTATGCAACGGATGCCCTTCCAGCTGCAACCTATTACTGGGAAACATTCCCACAGCCATTTACACATACACTACGGTTAATTTAGCTTACCAAATTCACCTATTCCGCATGTCTTTGGACTGTGGGGGAAACCGGAGCACCCAGAGTAAACTCAAGCAAACACAGGGAGAACATGCAAACTCCACACAGAAATGTCAACTGACTCAGCCAGGGCTCGAACCAGAGACCTTCTTGCTGTGAGGCGATTGTGCTACCCACTGTGCCACCGTGCTGCCCCCGTCTAAATTATAAAAAAAAAGAAACAAATAGATTTAGTGAACAACACTTCCCTCAGAAATCTGACAAAATTTCAATTCATGCTTTTATTATTAAAGTGACACGACTTGGCTAAAACAACAGCTTCTTCAGTGCTTTCCATCGACTAAAGAGCACCACACGTTCTTCTGCTAGCAAATACAGTGTGAATTAAATACTTACATAGCAAGGGAGCTAGGCTTAACATTAAACCGATTCACAAGAATCGCAATTTTCCAGACAACCACGACATACTATGAACAGCCATTTACATAATACCTTCCATTATTCTCAAAGACACTGTGAACCAAAATACAAATACACAAAATTCAAATAAAAAAGCGGAAGAAAATTGTGCAACTATAATCAAATGCATGTGTGTTAATCCAGGTCATCGCACACCGAATCTGAAATTTTTACAGGTTAAAAAATAAATTCAATTTAATTTTTGGTCAATCCCATTTTTGTCATAATAAATGATATCAGGTTTATATTTATATTGTGGGGTTGCTTGGTGATTTGCCAAAATCAAATTCTCTTTATTAAACTATTAGAATTACCATATTTTATCCATAACCTATAGAAGATAAAAATAGCAGGTAAAAGTTACAGTACAAAAACAGCAACATTCGATTTTTTGTGCACCCAGCGATGATTACATTACATTAAAGACACAGTACATTGATTTTATGGCACTGGGTTAAACTTTATGACACCTTTACGGCATTCACGACATCAAAAATAAATACAGGCCACAATTGAACATGGAGGATAGTCTCTGAATGGCTTGGGCCTATACTGGGCCTAGGCTTGGGCCTATACTGCAAAAAATGTGTTTCTTAGATTTATTTTTGTCCTGTTTCTAATTCAAATGTCTAAAAATTCTTAATTCAAGAAGCATTTTCTAGACAAGCAAAACATATAGTCTCGTTTTAAGATATAATATTCCAAAATGAAGCGAGTTTTCCCTTAAAACAAGCAAAATTATCTGACAATGGGGTAAGCAAAATATTATGCCAGAAGGAAAAACAAGATTATTTTGCTTACCCCATTGGCAGATTACTAAGTTAATTTTGATATATTATTTTTTAAAACAAGACAAGGCTTTTTACGTGTCTAGAAATACTTCTTGATTTAAGAATTGTTTTGATATTTGGACTAGAATCAAGACAAAAACTCTAAGTAGGAAACACATTTTTTTGCAGTGTATTGTATGTGTGCATCGTTTTGTGTAAGGTTTATATATTTATAACCACCTCAAAATATATTAAGGGGTTGCGAGTCACTAATATTGTTATTTTGGGGGTCGCGGGCAGAAAAGTTTGGGAACCCCTGACATAGAACACAGAGCACTTTATGACATACAAAGTGTGTAATATAAAGAGAAAACTTGGAAGATGATTGGGAATCACTGCTTTAGTCTACTGTATGCTGGCTTGAATGCCTGACGCGCATCTTTCCCAATGCGGCTGTTTGGCCAGAATTATCAGAATTATTAGGCCCCCTTTGATTTTTCTAATTTATATATTTTTAAATGATGTTTAACAGAGCAAAAAATTCTCACAGTATGTCTGATTTATTTATTTTTTCTTCTGGAGAAAGTCTTATTTGTTTTATTTTGGCTAGAATAAAAGCCGTTTTTAATTTTTTAAGGTCAAACGACAAAAAATAAGGTCAAGAATATTGGTATGACTCTTGAGTCAGATCTGAGTTTCAACAGTCATGTCAAAGCAGTCAGTAAATCAGCATACTATCATCTCAAAAACATAGCAAGAATCAGATGCTTTGTTTCTAGTGAAGATTTAGAAAACCTTGTTCATGCTTTTATCAGCAGCAGGGTGGATTACTGTAATGGACTCCTCACTGGTCTTCCTAAAAAGACAGTCAGACAGTTGCAGCTCATCCAGAACGCTGCAGCCAGAATTCTAACCAGAACCAGAAAATCAGAGCACATCACACCTGTCCTCAGGTCTTTACACTGGCTGCCAGTTACATTCAGAATAGATTTTAAAGTATTATTAATGGTCTATAAATCACTAAATGGCCTAGGACCTAAATACATCACAGATATGCTCACTGAATACAAACCTAACAGATCACTCAGATCATTAGGATCATATAAACTAGAAGTTCCAAGGGTTCAGTCAAAGCAGGTTGAATCGGCTTTTAGCCACTATGCCCCTCGCTGCTGGAATCAGCTTCCAGAAATGATCAGATGTGCTCCAACATTAGGCACATTCAAATCAAGACTGAAAACACATCTGTTTAGCTGTGCCTTTACTGAATGAGCACTGTGCTGCGTCTGACAGATTGCACTATCATGTTTTTCTCTTCTTCTTCATTCTTTCATATCACATTTTACCTGTTTTTATGTTTTGTTTTGTTTTTACGCATTTTTATCATTTGTTTTTATTTTTATTTTACTTGTTTCTTTTATTCCTGTTTATGTAAAGCACTTTGAATTGCCACTGTGTATGAAATGTGCTATATAAATAAACTTGCCTTGCCTTGCCTTTTAAACACCATTTTAAGGACAAAATTATTAGCCCCTTTAAGCTAACTTTCTTTTGATAGTCCACAGAACAAACCATTGTTGTACAATAACTTTCTTAATTACCCTAACCTGCCTAGTTAACCTAATTAACCCAGTTAAGCCTTTAAATCTCATTTTATTAGCTGTATAGAAGTGTCTTGAAAAACATCTATTAAAATATTATTTACTGTCATCATGGCAAAGATAAAATAAATCAGTTATTAGAGATGAGTTATTAAAACTATTATATTTAGAAATGTGTTGAAAAAGTCTGTCCTCTGTTTAACAGAAATTGGGAAAAAAATAAAAAGGGGGGCTAATAATTCAAGGTGGCTAATAATTCTGACTTCAACTCTACGTACTCTTCCCCAAGTCTCTGTTTAGGATTGATTGATTCACAAAATATACTATGTGGCTACAGTTTCACAAGAAATTTTCCCTCTCCATGCAATGGATTGAATAGACACAGTATATATATCATAGGTCTCAAACTCAATTCTTGTAGGGTCGCAGCTCTGCATAGGTTTGCTCCAACCCTGATCAAATACAGCTGATCCAACTAATGAAGGTGTTTATGACTCTTTTGAACACCTTGAATAGTTGGATCAGCTGTGATTTGATACGGTTAAAGCAAAACTGTACAGAGCTGCGGCTTTCCAGGAATTGATTTTGTGACCTATGATACATAACTTTCGATTTCTCAGATACAAATACAAAAAACGCAGAAAATTTTTTAGACATCAGTGTGCAAAGACCTTAATTCTTCTAAACTTTGTATGAACTTCAAAGAAACTACATGTCTTCTTTTTGTAAACATTAACAGTCATCCCTAAGACCAAGTATCCTGTAATAAAAGTGTGGCTCTTTGTCTCTATTTCCATAAAATATCCACTTTGTGGGTATCTCCCCTAAACAAAGCAGACATGAAGTCTGAAAAAAATTGTACAGCCTCCGAAAATATCTCTCGGTTGGTTTATTCCACAAATCTAAGCCCTTGTTGACAAGTAACCCTTAGGTAAGGTACAACCTTAGCAGTGCGTTCCTGCTATTGGGAAGGTAGATGCATCCCTGCGGCCTACTGTACTGTAGGGTGAAAGCTCCAGATCTGTTGTGCCGTCCTGATCGTTGTCATCACTGTTGGGTTCAGAGGATTTTGGTGGGCCACACTCCTCAAAGCAACAGCAGCAGCAGTCGAGAAAGGCTTTGCTAAATGGCCGACAGAGTGCAAGAAGCAGCACGGGTGTGACAGCAGACTTGCAGAACAGCATCATTTGACTGACTAGATGAAGGATATCTAGTGTGCGACGTGGCACGCCTGTAGCCATGTACACAGATACGATGTTGCTGATGTTTTCCGGAATGACGCAAAAGCCATAAAGGATGGCTAAGGCGACCACAATGCAGTTCATTTGGCTTTCAAGTTGGATCTGTTTGCGATTGCCCCGAACACTGGCACGCTCGGCTTTGCGGATCTTACGTGCGGTCACCACTGAGCTTATGATGGTGAAGAGGGTGGGAAGGCAGAAGTAGCAGCCAAAGTACCACCATAGACGAGCACTATTATATGTGAGTCCGAGAACATAAAGAGTGTCAGGGAGATCTGTGGAGATTCGAACCACACAATGTTCGCAAGGCGTCACCTCTGGTGGCTCGCTCACTTCTTTAACCAACTGTCGGATGAGGAGCTCGGGAAGGGCGAGGAGCAAAGCACCGAGCCAGATCACGGTTAGCTTGGCTGTGGTGGACGTGCAGTTTTCAATCATTTCATAGTACATCTGGACGTTACTCGCAGCACGGAAACGGTCAATGCACAAAGCACAAAGAGTGAAGGTGGTTACTCCCAAAGATGCCACCTGCAAGGTAAAGGGAATGTATGGTCATTACAAATAAAGTTTTAGAAAATCCTTTCACAGGGTATATATAGTACAGAAATCAGAGAGCGGAATACCTTTTAAGACCTTTAATACGACTCTATCTATTTTATACGACTCTATATTTTAAGACCTCATCGCTACTTTAGGTTTCAACCGGTAACATTGGGAACATTTTAACTTAAGCATATTTATTAAATGCTGATTGTAAAAACGAATCCTAAACTAAAACGTTATTACTATACTGAATAAAAATGCTAATCAAGCAGGTTGCACCTACACTGTAATACCCAAAATGTTAAGGTAACTCCATTTGAGGAAGCCGATTGCAACAAATTATTTATTTAAAAAAAAACAATCATAATGAGTACTGTGAATTTAATCTATTTGAGTAAATGAAGCAATTTGAGCACAGTAAAATCCAAGAAATGAAGAGAACTCAAACCAATTGATTACTGAGGAAAACCGTTTGAGGAAAACTGTTTATGGAAACCAATTTCTACAAACCATTTGAGTCAAAAAACTAACCTATATGAGTAATGTGAACTTACTCCATTTAAAGTTGAAGTAATGAGGTATTTATTTAACTTATTACCTTCGACACTGAGTTCAAAACTCTTTCCAAATGAGTATAACTAACATAAATTTTGAGTTATCTACTCTCATTTTATTTGATAAAGTTGATTGTTTGGATTTACAGTGTATAGAACAGCAGGAAAATGATGATGATGTCTTAGTTACTGCAGTAAACAAAGCTGTGTGATTTCAAATCTTGCAAGATTTGATTGATTTCATAAACTATGCAGCATTCACAGATTAAATTCAGGCAAACTTTAGGATGCTGATACAAATTTAATACATTATAAAATAACAGTTAAGACTTTAAAATACTTTTTTAAGGGCCTTCATTTCTCTAAATTGATTCATCAACTTTTAATACTTTTCAAGACCCCGCAGAAATCCTGTTCCACTGATATGTTAATTGCATAACAAATGAAACTCTACACACTCAACCATTTAGTGCATAAGTCTCAAACTCAGTTCCTGGAGGGCTGCAGCTCTGCACAGTTTTGCTCTTACACTAATCAAACACAGCTGATCATACAAATCAAGGTGTTCAAGACTAATAGAGACTATTAAGCAGGTGTGAGCTGGAGGAGGTTGGAGATAAAATGTGCAGAGCTGTGGCCCTCCAGAAATTGACTTTGAGACCATTGATGTAGTTTATGATTTTAATGTCATCCCATCTCTTTCGCTACGGACATACATTGGTTGCCAATCTAGTGAAATAAGAGACCAAACTACCAAATAATACCTGTCATAAGTACATTCACCATCGTGAGGTGGCATAATCACTTATGTAGGAAAATATTACTCGCGGAATCCAAAATAAAAAGTAAACCAACTTGCGTGCAAAGCTGTGCACGTAAACTGCATGAAGTGTTCAACAGTCCACACTTTGTTTATCGGTTAAATAAGCGCATCATCTGTCTATTTAAAGTGCACTTATTCTTTTTATTTAATTTCCAATGTGAATGTTGTAGAATAGTGATTAAGTATGCAATTTAAGACTATGGAACCTTTTTGCAATTGATAATGAATTTAAACATATATTATAATATAGAGAGTTTACTGCAGTTTCAATATGCCCCTACTACAATCTTCATTTCTTTGTTTTAAAAAGCAGTTTATATTGATCTATTTTGGAAGATGAAAAGCACATAAAGCTTTGTGCTGCACTGCTTTAAATTGTCAAGAAGCAGAAAAACTCTTCTCAGTAGATAAAACAGGGCATCTTTGAATAAATATCTGAAGCAAACATTGTCCTGCAGTGGAAATATCATTTTGCTCATTTATGACAGTCAACAACGACTTATTCCATGCATATGTGTAAAATTCCAACGTCAGTTTGTACTATGTACTATTGATAAATTGGAAAATGTTTAAACCAATATTTTTCAATAAGATTTGGCAAAGTAATTCTGATGAGGGCAGCATGTTGACGCAGTGGGTAGCACTGTAACCTCACAGAAAGAAGGTCGCTGGTTCAAGCCCTGGCTGGGTCAGCTGGCATTTCTATGTGGAGTTTGCATGTTCTTCCGTGTTCACGAGGGTTTCCTCCGGGACGGGTGCTCCGGTTTCCCCCACAAATCAAAAGACATAGGTGAATTAGGTAAGCTAAATTATCTGTAGTGTATGTGTGTATGTCCTGGTCCTCCAAGTTGGGGCTTGAGCTAACAACCCACCTTGTAAAAATTAGATGTTACAAAACACCAACATAGTGAAGCTAAATATCAACTTCGATATTAACAGCCCCGAGAGTAAGTAATTCCAATGAACATTGGCTACTAATCTGATTGTGATTACTGTGCATTATTTAGGCCCAAGAAAATGTATTGTTGAAGGTATGGTGCACCCCAAAATTTTTAATAATGTCATAATTTACTCATTCTTGATTTATTCCAAATCAGAGTTTTTTTTTGTGAACACAAAATAATTTATTTTAAAGAATATTGGAAACTTGTAACCCTTGACTTCCATTTGTTTTTTTTAAGTCAACCTTCTTCAAAATATCTACTTTTGTGTTCAACAGAGCAACAACAACAACAGGTTTTGAACAAGTCAAAGGTGATTAAATGATAGAAGAACTATTAATCATTGTTTTTCCTACCATGGAAATCAATGGTTAGAGGATTCTAACATTCTTTAAAATATCTTCGTTTGTATTTAACAGAAAAAAGAAATGTTTTGGAACAAGTCAAGGGTGGGTGTATGCTTTTTATTTTCGGGTGACTATCCCCTTAAAAGTATATTGTGTTTTTATTTAATTTAAATCAAATAAATTCCTGCATAAAGTTAATTACTACAACATTAATTTCAGCTTCTTTGAAATAATCTGGGATACAATGAAGCACTGACACACACATGCTGTCAACTGAGAATTGTATTAAACCCTTGAGCCTGCAGAACAACAAGGAAATTCTATCCTGCTAGATTCTGCATCAACACCCCAGCCTTTTTCATTTAGGCCCATGGATTGTATTGTAAGACTGAAACATTATGATCCAATAAGAGGGTTTTCTGAATCAAGGGTGTAGGCGCTAGTGATATGTTGTCAGGAGATTAAAACCGCAGCTATGGCACCAATCAGGTCAATTTCTCAAAAAACACATGATACAATCTGAACACTGCCCCAGGGCAATACCACTGTCTCTTTGTGTCTGCTGCGGAGACACGATCCCCCCACCCCCCGAACTGAAGAGGAAAAAAAAACATGGCTATGGCATGATGTCCGCCCTGATCTACAGTTCACATACGCTATACTGTACAACATCTGCACTCAATTCTTGTCATCTGCAGATCATTTCCTAACTTAAAAGCTGTTTTGTTAATATAGAAAATCTGTGTGAACAGCACCCACTGTTAAACTTGAAAGTGTTGCAAGAAAAAAAAAATACTATAAATCTTTACCTCAAATGAAAGCAAAGTCATGAGTTATTGTTAGAGAATTTACTGTATGCAGTGAGACTGCTTTGATCAAAGAGGTGTGTCAAGATCTGAATGAAACAGTATAATTAATTATGCAAATGCAAGTCTAAATTGTGATTAAATTAAAATGCACAACTATGTGAACTCAATAAGTTAATAATGCATTTTTACAATACAATTATTATATAATATAGTAATTGCCATACCGTAACTTTAGAATTATAAGGTTCTATCTGACATTTTTGTCAAAATGGATTTATTGAAATATTCTTATCAAACGACAGCTTATTTACAATTTGGGAAGTTTTTTTTTTTTTTTTTTTAATAAGACAATACTTATTATCCTTACAGCCAGTTTCTCTTTTAGTTCAACAACTTAATAACTCTCCAAACCAGTTGTCTAAAAAATATGCTAACCAAGATTGATACAATATATAAATAATTTTTTTTTTTTTTTTTTTTTTTGTGTACTCGTGTTTATTTAATGTTCTGGCTATTCCACTCCTGACAAGATCTAGCCAAAGCAATAATTAGTTCGGCCCACAAGTTCTACATACATGAAGGTTCCAATTAAATAAATAAAAATGGAAAACCCAGGTGTATATTATAAATACATATTTTTGTGCTGTCACTTTATACTATAAATACATTGTCAAAAATTAATGCCAAGAATATCACATTTTAGTAACAAAATTTCATTTCAATCAATCATCAAAAGGCCAATCATTTTTTTTTCTCAATCCAAAATTTAGTTTACCTCAATATAGGGAATAATCTTACAGGAGAATTCCCCAAGAAGCCAATCCTTTGTGAGTTCGTGGAATACAACAAGTGGCAGGCAGAAAAAGAGGATGACAAAATCCCACAAGGCGAGGTTGGCCAGCAAAGAGTTTGAAATGCTTCTCATGTAGTAATTGTGGCACACTATGCACATGATTGCTATATTCCCAACAATCCCCACAGTGAAAAAGAAGATGGAGATGCACATAACAGCATATGCACCATATGATTCACCTGTCAAGGGGTAAAATGGGTTTTTCACCCCAGGGGTTCTTGGTCGAGTATTACGGGGGATGAACGCGGTTACTTCCTCATACTCTTCCAAAGGTGAGGTTCCCCATTCGGGAATAGACGGGAAATCAGGGTGAAAGTCAGTAGGCTGGACCTGCGCTACAGGCTTCGGCAAAGACTCCACGCGTTCAAGTACATACTCTGGCGATTCGATGGATAGATTCATAATAGACTCGTTTCGTACTGTCGCCCTTTCTGTTTGATAGCCTTGTTTTTCCTTGTGTATTCCTTGCAAAAATGAAGTTGTTTTGCCAATCCTCTTCATTCCATCTATGTTTTCAAGTCTGGAAGATGCTGTCACCGCTGTATCATCGCTGCCACCGGCCGTCCTGGTCGATGAAATTACACCTGTGGGCTGTTTATCTCTTATATAACTCGTTTTATTTAAAGTTCCACGTTGTTCATGGCCGAGTGTCTTGATTTCACTCACTTTATAGGATGAAACGGGTAAATCGGTCGTATTATTGCTACGCGTGAGAACTGTTGGGAGTTCACAACAACTGAACAAACAAAATACAGTCAAAAATGTTATTTCCATTGCGTTTTCCTGTTTGTATCCAACCCGATAAATCCAGTATTGTTAAGGCAAAGTTGTAACGTTAGATGGAAACTCAAACTTCGTCCCGCTTTCTGGTCTCTCGTTTAAATTAAAACCTGTAGTTTCCATTTTAAAATCCCAGGAGTAATACGCTACAAAAAACAGAAATTTGAGGTAAAATTGTGCCGATTCTTGTAAAAACCAAACTATTCAAAACATGTTGAAGCCCTTTAACTTAAGAAATATATCCATGCGCTTCGTATAAAATGAAAAGTATAGATACCAAGCCCAAGAGCATCCAGCATCTCGATAAAGTTTAAGTCCTTGAGTGCCGTTCATGGGCTCCTGATGGAGCTCTGTAGTATGAAGCTCTGCCAGGGTCAGGGAGGCGCTGTATTAACACAAAACAGTAAAAGCGCCACCTATTGGACCTAAATAATATTGTTTTCATGAGTTTCGCTTCAAATAGCTTGTTAACCCTCAATACGTATTCAGGTGTTTTGGACTGAAAAAAAATAGGCTGCATGAAATGTCTAAAAAACAAAATAAAATAAATAAAATACAAGGTTACACCCTCAAAATCCCGCCCCCACCCAAAAACAATTATTGATATAACAACACATGCAATAAGATATGTATTGATCACCTAACGCATTTCTAAATTGTGCATTTTAAAATTATCTATTAAGTGTAAAAATGTTTGGTGTCTTGTTACAAATACACTGTAAACCCAGCTGTTGTTATTACTAAACATAGTAAATTAATATATATATATATATATATATATATATATATATATATATATATATATATATATATATATATATATATATATATATATATATATATATAACGACATTACTTAAAATATCAAGTTTTGGCATCAAAACTTAAACAGGTGTGTTAAACTTACTCATTAGCAATTAAAATTTTAAATAATAGTTTAGGTTCTCTGAACTTAACATCTTAATTTCTTTAAATTATTCATAATGCCTTGGTTGCGATTGAAGTTCTGCCTTGACAACCGTGCTGATTGGTCCATATATGTTAAATGACACAAGGTGGTCATTTTGCCCATGATGCTAAATTTAGCTTAAGCACATCAGGACAAAGACACTACCTGAACCCATCTGACCCACCCTTTACACACAGGGGCGACACGGTGGCGCAGTGGGTAGTGCTGTCACCTCACAGCTAGAAGGTTGCTTGTTCGAGTGCTGGCTGGGTCAGTTGGCATTTCTGAGTGGAGTTTCCCCACAAGTCCAAAGACATGTGCAATAGGTGAATTAGGTAAGCTAAATTGTGCGTAGTATATATATGTATATTTCCTGGTACTCCAGGTTGGGGGTTGAGCGTTGGGCAAACGACTTACCTCATAAAAATTAGATGTTAGGAAACAGCAACATGGTGTGGCTTAATATCAACTTTGATATAAACAGCTCTGGGAGTAAGTAAAGAAAATAAAAGCTGAAAAATTGGGTTTAGTCTATTAGCCACTGTAAGTTATCTGTACTGAAATATTTAAGTTATTTATAATTAAACATTTAAGTTATTTAAGTTAATTCAATGAAGAGACCACATTTGGTTAACTCAATTAATGGAGTTGTCGGTTTCCCATTGCTAAAACGAACTAAGGGAATCACTTTCCTAAAATCTTTTGAGTAGTCTCAAGTGTAGATATTTTAGGTTTCAAATTTCTCATCAATAATGACCAAAAACAGTATGTGCTGAAGTGTTTGTTGTGGTTAAAGTACAATTTTAAATTTCAATGTATTTCCACATTCTTCACGCTTTTCTTTAAACATTCACTCATAAATGGGAAGTTGCCAATCAGATTCCAAAATTGTTTTAGGAGAAACAAATATATCTCACTAAATTAGGTTTAAAATTACATACATAACTGTTCAAATAAGAAAATAGTATTCATATGCATTATAAAGAACAAAAAATTCCACACATGGATTAAGGAAGATCAATAATATTCGAATTATATTGTCTTTATAGAACTTTAAAAATATATAATCTGAGTAGGAATAATGTGCAACAAACAAATAAAAAAACTACTTTATTTTACAAACAGCTATAGATTGTTTTACCACAAAACATGTACATACATTTCTTAACACAAACTTTCCAAGCAAAAAAAAAAAAACAAAAAATAACAGCTCCATTTTCTTGTTCAATGTAGGTTCTAGGTTCATTGAATTAAATCATCCATAACTTCTCTATTGTTTAACAATTTCTGTGTTTGTGATCTGGTAACAAACTTTATTTCTGTCGTTGTCCTTCACAGTGTAGACAGAGAGGCAAAAATCCATCCATGGACGTTCTTCTACAGACAGTAAAAAAAAAAAAAAAAAAGTATACATTATCGTACTCTAATTAAAGAACGAATTTGAACATTTGAACGGTTACATAGTAAATGACATCTTTACCCAGACTACTTTCTGGTGGTTGAATTGTGTCCATGATTGTCTGAATCCTGTCCTGCAAATCTTGACAACCTGAAGCATCTACAGCAGAAATATGGAAGAATCTCTCCTGAAAAGAAAAAGACAGGTGATCACCAAAGCCTAGATCAGACAGCATTTTAATCTCTTCAGAGACTCAAAAATATAAAATAAAGACTAGAGATCTTAAAAAAACTAAATACTACATTATTAAACAAGCAAAAAAAAAAAAAAATAAACAACTTAAAATAGCAATTTTAGCAATAATATTTAAAACATTTGCAGTGGTTTATTTACATACTGAAAACAAATCCTATGCTGTAATGAAAAAAAAAATTATATATATATATATATATATATATATATATATATATATACACACACACACACACACACACACACACACACGAACATCTCATATTTATTCCAGATCTTTAATTAATGACATTGATATAACATTTATACTCACAGCGTCTTCCCACAGCAGAGCCTCTATTGTATCAGTCACGTCATCCAGTTCAAACTGGATTAAAAATCTGTACTGCATCATCTGAACTCCCAGAACTGTGTGACAGAAGCACAGGTAAGCAAGCTTAAATAAACACATCTGTCAATTTTTATGTTTGGAGAAATTGTCTAAATAATATTTAAGAAAACTATAATTTGAGACATTCAGAATACTTGAAATGAAATTACAGCCGTCATTCAGGGCTCAGACTTTCATAAAAGCACACCTGCAGACACATTTAAAAAAAAAAAAAGCTGACATCTTGACTTTATTTTTATATTATAAAATGTTATCAGAATACTATTTAATGCATTTCAAAATGTTTTCTTTTATGGTACAATTCACCCCAAAATAAAAATTCTGTATATTTAAGAATGTTGGAAACCAGATAAACCAACCAAGATAAACAAAGACTATGGAGGTCAATGGATACAGGTATTCAACATTTTCAATGTATCCATCTAATTTTGTTCAAAAAAAAAAAAAAAAAAATGTGTGAATAAAATATGACAGAATTTTCTTTTTTTGGGTGATCTATCCCTTTAAGAATGGAATTAAACAGCATTAATAAATGTTAGACATTAATAAGCATTAATATGCTTGAAGATACAGAAATATGTTCTTAATTTATATACAATTCAATATTATAAAATAAAGCAATTTTAGGCAATTTACTAACATATTCTGATATTAGTATGCATTTTGTTATGTAAAAACTGGAAAATGTTTTGCAAAAATTGCTTTGACAAAAAAAGGTTATTGTTTTACACAATTAAAGTTAGATTAGAGAAATACATTGAATCTAAGGGCATTTTCACACCTGGCTAGTTTAGATAATGTATTTCTGGTGCGTTTTTCTGCCTTGGTTTTGCTTGTTTAGGCATATAGGAATACAGCAATCATGAACGGATCTACACCAAACAAACCCATGTTAAACCTCTTTAACAACATAAAATGTACATGCTAAATCACTATGTTGGTTTGCATTATTTGACAGTTCTAGAGTTTATTTCCAAATGTTTTATTATATTTTTAAGATCTGAGGTGAACTATCTGCTGCTGCTTTCAGTAGAATGGCAATGTCATGTAAAAAGCCATTCAAACTTACATTGTTAGGATTTAAGACTGAAAAAAAGCAGGTGATAACAGTTTATCCGGTTGTTCAGCTGCAAGAAATAGAATTGTTTCTAATATATCAATTTAAGGTGTTGGTCAATACAAAAACTCATTTTGATATGGAAAATAATCCCTCTATCGCTTTTTAATTTCTTAAATTTAGAAGACAATCTATGTCAGACTCACTCCTCGATCTGGCAACCAGCACTTACGTTTGTTTTGATCAAGGAATGTAATACCCAGTTTAACCAATGGGTGTCAAAATGACATACTGCACCTTTAAGTTATTGAGTTAAATTTAAACATCTTTAAATGTAAAAATTAATTATACAGTTAAATAAAATGACAAACAATTATTACAAAACATTTTTGATTTAGTTTTTTAGCAAAGTGCATCCAGAATTGTTGGATTCAGTCAAGAATTATCATTTCAGTGTATCCCTAATTTGCACTCATGGCATTTGGCTTAAACGTATAGGCATTTTGACACAGTTTCTTGAAATAGGTGTATACAATTGCATTGTATGGGCTCCATCATGCCTTGAGAGTTCCCTGCATCATGTTAGTCACCAATTAGCTGTATTGGGGTGGGTACATTAATTTTATTCCCCAAAGTAGTTAAATCATCATGCTAAATTGAAAGCACTAGTAATTTTAAATATATTACAAAAACATCTTGACGGTTAACGTAGAGGACTGTAAACAGGTGCACTCTGACCAATAGGATGACTGTTGCACTCACATCTACAGGTCTTAAAATATTTTAAACATCAGACAATAAAAAGCTTAATCACTCCCAAAAGAACAATGTTAATGTAAAATTGCTGAGTAAGTACCTGCAGCAACTGCCTGTTCATCCCAGGTCTCCACTCCAGTAAACACGGGGTTTTCAAACGTGTTCCGAGAGCACTGTTTACACCTGAGACATGCACATAAATATTCATTTAACTAAATATAGACGTGAATGTAACCCTTCCCTAGGGTTTTTGTATGATTTACATCATGAATAGCAGGGGACATTCAGATGAAGCCATAGGAATTGTACTCTTACCCATAATATCTTTTTTTTCCAGAGAACAAGAATGGAGCAGTGAGATCCATCCGGGTCATCTTGCTGTTCTCTGATCTAACAGGAACTAGGTTTTTGTGATCACGTGATAACACACTAATCTCATCAAGTGTCATTCCTGAAAACATAAGGCTATATTTTTAAAATAAGGCCAAAGAAATATTATTGAAAATATGAGTCTCTTTGCAGTTCGACATACCCTCAATGAATATCAGCTGCATGTGACTGCTTTTCCCCACCATGTCTTTAGAAACGTGCATTGAGATAGTTCTGCCAGGTTCTCTAGAATTTGCAGATGAGGTGGCAGCCCACTGCTCATCACAAGGTTGGTTATCTCTCGCAGATTCCAGAAATATGTTTGCGACAGCACTGTCATCAGGTACGTCTTTCCTGTCACATACAAAATAGTAGAACTTTTTGTTAGAAAGTTTTGTTAGTATCATTAGCTATTACAAAGCTGTAATATATGATTATATTTGTAATATACAGTATGATTATATCTATATATATATATATAATTATTAGCCCCACTTAATTATTAGCCCCCCTGTTTATTTTTTTCCCAAATTTCTGATTAATTCAAAGAAAAAATATTTATTCAACACATTTCTAAACATGATAGTTTTAATAGCTCATTTCTAATAACTGATTTATTTTATCCTTGCCATGATGACGGCAAATAATATTTTACTAGATCTTTTTCAAGACACTTCTATACAGCTTAAAGTGACATTTAAAGCCTTAACTAGGTTAATTAAGTTAACTAGGCAGGTTAGGTTAATTAGGCAAGTTATTGTTTAATGATTGTTCTGTAGACTATCAAAAAAAAAAAAAAATAGCTTAAAGGGGCTAACAATTTTGTCCTTAAAATGGTGTTTAAAAAATTAATAACTGCTTTTATTTAAGCTGAAAGGAAACAAATAAAACTTAATAAAGAAGAAAAAATATTATCAGACATACAGTATATATTTCCTTGCTCTGTAATAAAGAGACTAAGCTGAAAAAGAAAATGAATGAATGAATGAATATATGTGTATCCTCCACCAGCATTAGTAGTGACCTGGCCGTGTTCTGCATAAAGAATGGCTCAAAATCCATCTGGCCACTGTGCAGGACTTGTGTCTGTCATTCCCAAGACGAATTGATGCTGTATAGGCTGCAAAAGGAGGTCCTATACCATACTAATGAATAAACCAGGCATTTCATTTTCCAACCACTGTAAAAAGAGCGGCGCGTTGCTCTTTTCTAAAGTCAACAAAAAGGCAGTGCTTGTGTTTTCAGAACGGAAAAGCATGTCCAGTGAGATCAGCCCCTAAGTCTGCTCCTCTCGAGTAAAACAAACACAAAATATACAATATACCACTGATTCTGAATCAATAAGAAATATTAAAATGAGACCTATTTTGAATTTAAAGTCTATCTTTTAACCAGTATAAGCAACAACCTCTTTTCAATGTATTAGAGTTAAGAACAGGTTGTAGTAAGTGTCAGACTCACATTGTTTTACACTTGGAGCAGAAGAGTTTCAAGCACTGGTATAACTGCTGGGGCAGGTACTTCTTCACCCGGGCTCGAACATGACATGACAGCGGTGGTGTGGAGCGCTTCACCTGAGCAAGTGTGATCCGCTGTGTGTTGTGCTCACACGTCTGCACTGAACAAACATAATAGAGATGCTATCAGCATTTATAATAAAAACTGACATTGACATATACTTCTATAGCGCATTTGATGAATGCTCAGGTCTGGCTCTTAACAATTCTAAAAGCTGCTTCCCTTAAAGGTGCAGTAGGTGATATGTTAGCATAATAGCTTTGAAAACACAGTCCCTCACGAACGTACACCTTACAGATAACAGTAGACAACCCACTAGATCATGGCATTCGAGAGTTAGAAAACTTAATAGTACTCTATAATACTACAGATTTGAATGAAAAACTATTATATCTAGCGCGTTTTCAGTTGTGTAGAAAGCCAAACTTGTCATAATGTGCAATACTTCATGCATGAAAGGATCGCTGGTCTCTTTCTCTCATGCGCTTTGTCCTAAAGTAACAATGCTTAGACTATGCTTGGCTGGCAGGTTGCAGGAATTACATGTATTACTAGGCCATACTTACATGATATTTCAGACCAAATTGTCAAAGTAGGTAAACAATATAGGGAACGCGTCATGCGTTGTCATTGTTCAAAACCAATGTGATGCGAATATAAACCAACTTCAGCTCTGTAAAGCAGGCTAGGTGCAATAGCTCTATTTATTTATGCTCTTTTGTTAAACTAAATTATCGATTAAAAATTCGATTTAAAAAATATCGATTTAAACTACATTATCGATTAGAGGTGCGAACTTACACTGGTCTCGCGGTTCGGTTCGGTTACGATTATCATGCTATCGATTGGTTCAAATTGATATCTCGGTGCATTGACGATGCTTTCCATACATAATAAAATTTTTCTTTACAGCACAAGAAAAAAATTCGAAATATCTTTAAATATTATTTGTAATACAATTTTATCCTTTAATACAAACAGTCAGAACTGTACCTTTAAAAACTCAAGTATATGCACAGAACAATATAAGCATTTATAGCAAATAAACAACACCCTGTCGAGTGAGTTCTTGCACCTCTATGATTGGTCACACGCTCAACAGTATGGGTTGCGAATGGCTCTAAAGGTGTTCGCACACCAGAAGCGCTGCTATGCGATGTGCCATGCAGTGCCATTCATTTTAGAATTATAAACATAGGTTTCTATCAGGGTACACACACCTGTCCAGCCACGAATCAGGCACTGTTCATATTTCTGCTGCGCCACAGAGCACCATCTGAAGACTTTAATTTTAAATAAGATGCAAATGTGCACGTCTGTTGTGCGTTACTTTCAACTGTCATCTGCGCATATGATATATGATATATGTTGCGGTACATAAAAATAAATAAGCTTTGCATGACTAAAATACTTTTAAAACATACGCACAAATGGTAGACCTGAGTGAACGGGGTGCACAGATGTACAAATCTACATTTGTTAACAAACAGTTGGTCAACTTATTAGAATTATCTGCTCGACAATTTTTAATTGGATGAAAATTTTAAGTGTTATGCCACAAGGTTATTGCACACACTGAATCTGAAATTTTTGTCCGTAATTTTTGCATGTTAGAAAATAAATTCGACCTCGTATTACCACACTACCTTCTTAACATTCGTCCGTCATCAAAATTCGAACCGGGTTTGATTTTTTCCGCTTTTCGCATTAAAAAAAAATGCTTTGAGGGGTGTTTTGACAGTTGAATACAGTTAAAGAAGTTATACAGAATACAGAATCCGATCATTTGAGCTACAAATAACTTGATGACAAACACAGTGCATAATATAAGACAAATGTGGTGGACAGTTGAGAACCAAAAATATTATGGATTCAGTGACTAGCACACCTCTACCCTCCTGCTGCTTAGTGTGTGTGTGTGTGTGTGTCTCCATACATTTGAGGTATTGCCCATAGACATTATAATAGGAAGCATGGTCCGCTTTTCGGTCTGTTGCTTCAACATGTCAATGCAACCACCATCTATTATAATGTCTGGTCAATAGGTACTGCCAGTCCTGTTCAGGACTGTACATATGTACATATATGTGTGAAGTATTATAAACGATGTATTAAAATTTCATTGATTTCCTGAAATAAACTTTGTATTTGGGGATATCGTAGTGCATCTCTTTGAAAAGGAGAACTGTCCTTCTTCATGTAGGCTAGTATTAAATGCACACAATATGTAGCCTATTCTTTTGTCTTTTTCTACTTTGGAGTAAAGAGAGGACAACAAAGTATCACTGCTTGAACTGACACCGAAAGGTTTTGCGTTTTTTTTCAGAATGGATTAATTAATATGCGTTGGACTTAGTGTGCAAGGTTTGTTTATGTGACAATTATTTTGCATATGAATAAGTAAAAAAAACTCAACCAGACATTTAACCAGCACAACAAAAAATGTTTCTAAAGACAATCACCTACTGTACCTTTAATATTAACCAAAGTAGATTATATTAACTACACAGTAGATTGTGTTAATGTAACTTTACATATTTAGAAAAAAAATATACATATATATTATATATATATATAAGCCATAAAACTTGTGTATTTCTAGTTAAATTAAAACTATAAATTCAGTTCAGCGAATGTCACTATTGAAGGGCAAATACAGTGCATCTGGAAAGTATTTATAGCACTTCACTTTTTCCACTTTTTTTATGTTAAAGCTTTATTCCAAAAAACAAACAAAAAAAATAATAATAAATCAATTTCAATCATGGCCAGACAGAAGCCAATCCCCGCCTGAAATTGGCCAAAAGACATCTGAGGGACTCTATAAAATTCTCTGGTCTGATAAAACTAAAATTAACGCACGTTACATTTGGAGACAACCTGGCACCGCTCATTACAAGGCTATACTATCCCTACAGTAAAGCATGGTGGTGGCAGCATCATGCTGTGGGAATGTTTTTCAGCAACAGCAACTGGAAGACTAGTCAGGATAGAGGGAAAGATGACTGCAGCAATGTACAGAGACATCCTAAATGAAAACCTGCTCTTGACCTTAGCCTGGGGTGACGGTTTATTGTCCAGCAAGACAATGACCCAAAGCACACCGCCAAAATATCAATGGAGTGAATTCACAACAACTCAGTGAACGTTCTTGAGTAACCCAGGCAGAGCTTTCCATCCAACCTGACAGATCTTAAGAGGTACTGCAAAGAGGAATGGCATGATGTTCAAAAAGACTTGAGGCTCTAATTGCTGCCAAAGGTGCATAAACAAAGTATTGAGCAAAGGCTGTGAATACTTATATACATGTGATTGTGTGTAGAATTTTGAGGAAATAAATTAATTTAATGATTTTGGAATAAGGCTGTAACATAAAAAATGTGGAAAAAGTGAAGCGCTATGAATACTTTCTGGATACACTGTATATATGAAAAATATATGCTTTTTACACTGCTTGTCTACTGGCATGTCTGTTCATGTTTTACCTGTATAAGCAGGCCCTGCATTTTCTTCAGCACCTGAAATTAAAATAACAAATACATTTTTTAAACAAATTTTGCTAATCATTACAGTATATTTATTTTTTTCACCTGTGGTGGAAAAAAAGGCTTTGCAAAAACAGCCAAATAAAATATGTTTATACCTGGGTTTTCATCATTTGGCAAGACTAGAACAAAACAGAGTTATTTATTGATAGGAGCCCGCTGAATGTGCGACATGATTAGGTATAAATAAAAAAATTATTTAAAAAAAACTGCACAAACCTATTGACTCCGGCGGCGTGTACCAAATTTCCAGTAATGTGCCATCATTCACTTCTTCATGCTCATCCAGATCAACATGTTTCTCTAGAACACTAAATACAGATCAGTATAAAGAGAGATGAAGAAAACTGAAGGGCATGATGGTTGAATGTCAGATAGAAAGCTTTAACATGCCATTAAAATGATGACTCATGACTTCAGCAAATACTTAAAATAGGATCAGATTGAAGGACAAGAACTAACTGTTGCGATATATGTGTGCTAGGACACAATGTATATTAGGACACAAATGTATACAATGACAAGGGAAGTGCAATGTGAACATGGTTTATGAGGACACTGTGTTCTTGTAAACCAGATGGCTTAAAACATTCTAAATGATCCCTGTAAACCACAACACAATTATGCATGTATGTCTGTGTGTGTTTATTAGATAATTCAAATGAAATCTGAAGGTTAATGCTACACTGAAGAATGCATTAATGGCTGTTGAATAAATCACAGTTCAGTAATATCTCCATAACACTGCTTATATACAAAGTATTTCATATGTAAAACAACAAATAAAGCAACCTTATAACATAAAATAGCAAATACTTACTACTTACTATCTAAAATAATTGCATAATAAATTCGATATTTTGGTTGCTACTACCCCATTGGTCTATAAGGTGCATTTACTGAAGAATTGAATGGGGTGCTGTCCTCATTCCCTGAGGACCACAGCCCACTTGTGGTATTGGGTGACATTCATTTGGAGTAACCTTATGCCAGACTTCCACTCCCTAATTACATCATTCGATTTCTGGCGGCTTAATATCACAAGTGCTAATTAATCTGCCAATCAATTGGACCTGATATTTACAAGAAATTGCATTTAAAGGTGCAGTATGTAAGTTTGACACCCAGTGGTTAAACTAGGTATTAGATTCCCTGATCAAAACAAACAAAAGTGCAGGTTGCCAGATTGAACAACATGAGCAAGTTTGACGATTGAGCCTGAAGGCTGATTTAAACCATGTTCTATATAAAAGGAATGACAGGCAATAGGAGGAATATTTTTTATATCAAAAGGAGTTTTGATATTTTGATATTTGAGTTTTGGAGTTTTTGTTCTAACCAACATCTTGAATTGATATCTTAGAAACAATTTCTATTTCTTGCAACTGAAAACAATAATCACCTCAGATACACCTTATGTTCTTTATTCAGTGTTAAATGCTAACAATGTAAGTTTGAATGTCATTTTACATGACATTTATTGCCATACTACTAAAAGCAGCAGCGGATAGTTTACCTCAGATCTTGAAAATAAAATATTTTGAACTTTAGAACTGAGACTAAAACCCAACACACAGTGATTCAGCACGTACATTTAATAATGTTAAAAAGATTTAATATGTATAATATTAAGTGAGTGCATATTCTGAGCTTCTGAATAGCAGAATTGAATTTCTGTCATCTTTTAAACAGTCAAATTGCTTGTCACTGCAAATCTCATCACTTTGTGTGTTTTGACATCTGCTCACCTAATGTTTACGCTCATAAAGTTTATATTATTTGCTCATTATTAACCTCATGTGGAACTCTAAATCTGTGTCTTCTGTGTCTTATGTCTAAATCGAATTCTGCTACTGTCCACCGGAGGTCACATTTTGGTCACGGATGCATGTTTTCAGAGCCTTTCTAAATGAATGAATGAATGAATTATGCGGTTTTCCAATAAGGCAACCCAGGGTGCTGGAATATAATTGGCTAAACTGGCATTGGGTGGGTTAAAAGAATCAAAACAAAAACAGAATGCCTATTTTCAAAGCAGAATATCTGACTTCAGCATTGTTTGTCAGATAAACAAGAATGTTCACTTGGCATGTTTCTTAAATATCTGCAATCATATTATGGTATTTTTATGCTTTAAATAAGTCAAAAACTTGCATGCAGCATCTTCAATAAAATATCTTTATTAAACCTTTAAACACTGCAAAAAGGATTTACACTACCACACAGCCAACCTTCAAAATGGTTTCTTTTTGAAGCAATCTACACTTTCTTTCATCCACCCACTTCTCCTCTGATGTCATATCCTCCCTTCTCTCACACACCCAGTTCTCGCTTCTAGAGGTTAATAGTGCAACAGACACTTTCTGTTCCACTTTAACCTCATGTCAAGATGAGATACTTCCTCTCCACTCCAGGCCCGCGCAAACAACTCCGTCTAATCCCTGGCCTTCTGATGTTCTGTGTGAACACAGAACAGCACTCAGGGCAGCAAAGAGAAAATGGCAAAAATCCAAAAGCCCTGCTGACCTGAGCAGATATCAATCTAAACTCACAGCATTCGCCACACAGGTCCATTCTGCAATAACTCAATACTACCAAAATAAAATCAGCACCACTTCAGACACTTGTAAACTCTTAAGGATACCCTCCTCTGTCCTCACCACCTCCCTTACTGTATTTGTTCACCATTTGCCTTCTTTTTTACTGACAAAACTTGACATATTAGAAGTCAGATTCACACACCATCCCTTGCAAATCTCCATCAAACCACATCTTCAAAAACAAACATACAAAACACTCTCCTCCTCCCTCTTCACAGAAGATATAGTATCCAAACTTCTCTCTAGGCAACTGTAGATCTTTCTCATATCTGGCACCTAAACTCTGGAACAGCCTTCCTAGTACAGTTCAGGAAGCTGACACACTCTGTCAGTTTAAAGCTAGATTTAAGACGCATCTCTTTGCATTAGCATACACATAAAACACAATTCTTTTGAAATCCAAATCCTTTAAAGGATTTTTAGTCTGCATTATTTAGGGCAAACAGAGCTGGGAACACTTTCCAAAAGACATTATAATTTGAACATAACTGCGCTTATGTTAGTCTGTTTTTATTATTCCCAAGGTTTCCATAATCCTGGACCAGGCTATATCCTGAGCAGCTGCCCTGGTGGTCATGGAGGAGTGCAGTACATGAGACCATGAGACCCCAGTGACAGACAAGTCTTCTCATTAGGCCAGCCTGTACACCAGCCGGTGACCTCTCCCACCTGCAGCTTCTCCACATTGGACTTCAAGAGTTCTCCAGCCTCCAGTGCCTAGACTGCAGTTCTGCACAAGATGTTTGGCCAGAGGAGAAATGGTCATGCCCAATTGAGCCTGGTTTCTCTTTAGGTTTTTTTTCCTTCACTTTCATCAATTGGTGAAGTTTGTACCTCGCCAATGTCAACACTGGCTTGCATAGTTCGGGACTTGTGGAGCCTTGCATCGATGGATTTGCTCTTCAGTGTTTGGACTTTCAGCAGTGAAAATTAAACCAAACTGAACTGAACTAAACTGAAATGAACTTTAACACTGAACTTTAAACTGGACTGATACTGTTTCAATTTACTGTCTTCTATGTTAAGCTGCTTTGACACAATCTACATTGTAAAAGCGCTATAGAAATAAAGATGAATTAAATTGACATAAAACAACCTGTCTACTAGATTCTATTCCCTCACACATACTACAAGATATTTCCTCAGTCAGAGTGCCTGTGCTAGCTAGCACATTGGAATTTTTCCCACTACCTTTAGGCAGGCTTGGGCAACCCATCTGCTAAAGAAAGCATTGCTAAACATTACAGAATGATCTCCCTCCTCTGTTTTTTAGTCAAAACTCTAAAAAGGGTTGCATTCAACCAATTTCCACATTTCTCACATAGAATAACCTGTTGGACACAACCAATTAGGCTTCAAAAGTTGCCATTGCACAGAGACTGCTTTTACTGGACCTATCTGCTGCCTTTGATGTTTTAGATCAGGGGTGCCCAAACTCGGTCCTGGAGGGCCGGTGTCCTGCATAGTTTGATTCCAACCCCAATCAGACACACCTAGGCTAGCTAATCAAGCTCCTATTAGGCTTGCTAGAAACGTCCTGGCAGGTGTGTTGAGGCAAGTTGGAGCTAAACTCTGTAGGGCACCGACCTTCCAGGAATGAGTTTGTGCACCCGTGTATTAGGTTCTTCTATTCAGCATTCCCTAAATGGGCATTACTGCAACCCCACTCTGCTGGTTACCTCACTGGTAGATCTTTCAGGGGTGGGCTGAACAGGGAGGGCACTTCAGATGGTAACAGGTCTACCTCTCAAGGATTACTTCTTGGAACCCTTTCTATTCTCAGTGTAGACAACATCACTATGACACATCATCCAGTCTCTTGGTTTCTCATATCATTGTTATTATGATGACACAGTTCTATCTTTCATTTCAGCCATATAAACCAATGGTAGCTTCAAGGATCTCACACTGCTAGGAGGACATCATGGCTTGGATAAAAGATGATCACATACAGATAAATTTGGCTAAAGCAGAACTTCTCGTCTTTTCTGTTACTCCAGCTATTCAACAATTTCTCCATCCAGCAAGGATCACTAACTATCACCCGATCTGATCTTTGATGTCCAGCTATTTTTCAAGGATCACACCGCTAACCCAGCATGATTATGCAGAATTGTATTATTTAAAAAAAAGAAGGATTAGGCACTTCCCAATCTCACAACGACTGCTAAATCAATAGCATCATTCAAATGATAAATTAATTACATTATCATCATACAAAATTCCATTCCCTTCTCCCTCCTTTACAAACTCCAACTCTTTTGTGACAGGACCAAAGCCCTTTGGTGAAAGGTGAAAGTTTTTCACGATTTCGCGAACACTAAATCAACAGAAAGTCACAAAAAACATCAATAATCTCATAAAATGTCAAATTCCAAACCATATAATCAAATTAGATTTATTTCAGTTTGCAACTATTTGTTTAGACATTTATAGACATTGCATACACAGCACACGTGAAGTATTTGAGTGTCTCTCAAAAAATGACGTCTCGCACCCTCACAATCATTACATGTAATGGAATGGGGGGAGAGTTTTCAGCCTCTGCAGTAAGCAGGCGCAGATGAAGCACGAGCGATTTACATGTGAAGTCAAAGCAAAGATGGGATTAAGGCGAATTATGAGTTTTGTGCGTTTGACTAGCTTCAGACTGCAAAAGAAAGTAGGAGCAAACATTTAACAAATGTAGCAAAGGAACAAACAGATGAAGATTGGTTCATGGATGACAGCCGCTAGACGTGACCAAACTGAAGGACATTACATGTATGGCTGGTATTATGATGTACTGCGAATCGATAAAATGATGTTGCTCAACTCTTTCCCTGAAACGAGAGAAAACGATTCCCTTCCACCAACGAGTTTTACAGCAGTCTGTGTTGTAGGTGTACTACGGTAGGGGAAGCCCTAACACATGCCTTGGGTGAGGTAAATAATGTCAAATGCTCCGGAGAGTGAAGTCTGAGAGAAAGTAAGGTCGAGGATAAAAAAAACAATAAAAAAAAATATATATATTATACAAACTTCCTTTGGATTAATCCCTACCCTTTCAGATCTGTTTGAGATCTTGTCTTGGCAAGAGACCAAAATAAAGATGCTTTATTTTTATGATTTGTGTCATTTTGTCAGATTCCTTCTTCATTTGTAGATAGATTCTTCATTTGTAAGTCATTTTGGACAATAGCGTCTGCTAAATGACTAAATATAAATGCAATTTATGCTAGTAATAAACTTTGATAGTAGACTAATTATGTATTATTGTTATATTATTTTATGTTTATTTAAAAATTATGCAAAAACAATAATAATAATCGGAGACCTCTTAACTTACCTCTTGAGAGACAGCAGGTCAGGGGTTTCTGCAGGAAGGCTACGTAAACCTCGTCCATATACTGTTCCCCCATGAAGATGGAAACCAAGATGTTCCGGTTGATCTGGCAACTGGCCTGGGACTTTCTGAAGAAGTGCACGGAGATTGTAGAACCGCAGAAATGCACCAGGCTGAACATAAACACAAAGAATGAAACTTCTTAAAAATTATTATAAAGACCAAGAAATTGGAGTCATTTTTGGTAGATTTTCAAACACAAATAAGGGGCTCTATTTTAACGATCTTGGCGCAAAGGCTGAATTGCATGGCGCAAAGGCATTTCTTAAGAATGGAAAAATATGCTCTACACCCTGGCGCATGGTCTAACAGTGTTGTGCTTATTCTCTTAATGAGTTATGGGTGTGTTTTGAACATAACATGGATTAAACCAATCAGAGTGTCATCTTCCATTCACTTTAAGAGTGAGATGCTTTAAAACTGAACATTTCACTAGCGAGAAAACATTTAAACAAACCATCTGCACAAGGATAAAGAATTGGCCTCCTCCATTCAGCCTTTTTGCTTTTTCTTTCTCTTTACTCCTTTACTTTCGTGGATAAGGAAACAGTGTTGTCCGCACTCCACTGAAGTTATCCATTAGCCTACATATTTAATTTTGTTGGTTAAGCGCAAAGATTTGTTTTAAAACTATTTCTAAATTCCGTTCTAATTTCCAGCAAAGGAATGAATGAACAATAATAATGAAGTGTGGTCAAAAAACTGAGTTATATCCAAACACACATCTTATTCTTATGCCCCATACAGTATGTTTTAGGCCAGCATGCCCATGAGTCCACAAAGTGGCACAAACGGATTTGCTATTTGAATAACGTGGTGCAGAACGTAAAAATTAGGGTTGCACTGGTCTGAAAATAGCAACATATTTGCGCCAAACACATTCATTCATTCTCTTGTCGGCTTAGTCCCTTTATTAATCCGGGGTCGCCACAGCGGAATGAACCGCCAACTTATCCAGCAAGTTTTTACGCAGCTGATGCCTTTCCAACCGCAACCCATCTCTGGGAAACATTCACACACACACTCATACACTACAGACAATTTAGCCTGCCCAATTCACCTGTACCGCATGTCTTTGGACTGTGGGGGAAACCGGAGCACCCGGAGGAAAACCACGCGAAGGCATGGAGAACATGCAAACTCCACACAGAAACACCAACTGAGCAGAGGTTTGAAATAGCGACCCAGCAACCTTCTTGCTGTGAGGTGTCAGCACTACCTACTGTGCCAATGCCTCGCCACCAAACACATCTTGTGCCTTATTGCGCTGGATGTATGATATGGCCCATAGACTTCTACTTTACCTTTAGGTATTTATACATTCAAGTCAATGAATTTTGTAAATTTCTTGCCATTCATACATACAATTCATTTTTCATCTTTGTCCAAAATGCTATGCATCTACTTTCTTTTCAGCTGTTTAGAAGGAAAATGTTTGATGCAACATTGTACATCTAGAATATATGTCTTAGTCTCTCTTCTAAAAGTAATTTTCCAGTTAGACTTCAGATTTTTGCCTTTGTTTCAACTTTAAGGTTTTTTTTCTATTCCAATGCACTGCTTTTCTGTTGTTTTCAATGTTAACACATTTGATGGACGTGCATGCACATTACGCTTGTATCTCATGTCTTTCAAAGCACTGTGTACATGGAGTGCTATTTTTTGGACGACATGTTAAGCTAAAAGAGCATAAACTTTTACACCCAGTGCCACTGTATCTAACAACACGGAGTAAATACACTAACTGTCAAAGGTTAGAGTTAAAGCCAAGAAATAAACAAAATCATACTAAGATTAAAACATAATTTGTCATTAAGGATGATAAGCTCTGGACGTTTTTATTTAGTATTAATTAATCTAGCAGTCAATCACACAGCAGAAAACAACGCAATAACAAGTGTGTATTGCTTAAAGCACCTACATGTTCTGCATGCCTTTGTGTTAATGCAGTAGCTTCACCTAGTAATATACTCTGCTCTTATTCATGCAAGTTTGCAGTGTCTGCATCTAAATTTATAAAGACAGTCCACAAGCATTATGTGGGAAAAATAAATAATTTATGATTTAAAAAAAATATATGTATGATATTCATATTTTGGCCATATTACCAGCCCTGGTTAAGATGTTTTTGTTTGTTTTCTTACGCTTAATTACTTGATAATACGTGCAGTGAATGATGGAGATAACAGGGTAAACACAGCGATACTGTAAAAAAGCATAATCATTTAAAATGACTATTTCCTGTTTAATTATATTGAAAAATGTAATTTATTCCTATGAAGAGAAACCTGAATTTTCAGCTGCCATCACGCCATGATTCCTAGGAAATAATTCTCCATCTTCAGTTAAAAGGCCAGCAGGGGGAGCTACAAGACCAACGTTGCATATTAGAGTCTCAAGATTACAGTAAAATGGAAAGAAAACGTTAATCCCTAGGAGTCCTAGGAGCATCATAAAGACATACTGAGAGACCCTGAATCACTTAACGATCCCTTGTGCATCAATAGATGAACGATTGTCTTTTTACAACAGACTAAATAATCAAGCAGAAAATATGGCATCAGAACCTCTCTTAACAGATTGCATTCTGATCTGCTCTGTATGAGCTTCCTTTTATAGGTGTGTGCTTTTGACATCATCTTTGGGGTTTTCAGGAAATTGCCATGTCTTTGTTTACCTGATTTTACCTCTAGTCACTGATTAAACAAATATTTGAAGTAAGCCTAAGTGCAGGCATTCTCAAGAACTGAGTAGATGCAATATAGTCCCTAGACCATTCTATAGAGCCTAAAAGGCATTATGAATAAACAAACCAAATAATTGAACAAACAGAATGATGGCAATCAATTATTCGCCATCAATATTTGATTGAAACAGGCTTAAACAGAACAAGGTGGGTAACCACATTTGGAGAAAACAGACTTGTTTTCCATGAGTGCAAATTTGATTCAGCTCATTACCATCTTGCTTGAGAATAAGCTGACAACTGAAAACTGGGGTGTGAGATTGGAGCTAAAAAGGGAACTTGGTGTGTGGCTTGATAAAGATGGCCTTGAAAAAAATATGGTTGGATCCACAGAGAGAACAAAATGTTTCTTTCATACACAGCATTAAATGCAGGCACTAAACTCCCAAACCAGTGCTTCCCCAGGACAAACCATCCACTTCAGTTTAAGAACCTTGAGACACAAGTGATATACTCTAGTCTGGTGTGTGAGCATGGATAGAAATGGAAGTGGTGTACCTTTTTATTACAGCTATTACCATCACCACATACAGTACATCACTATAAAAACAAAATTGTCCCAAAAATGTATATATTTCAGTTTTTAACCTTACTTATGTCATTCCACCAAATCAGGTCAAGCTGTTTTTTTGATTAACCATTTTTATTGATTAATTATTGACAACAGTTCCCAGAGAGCACGTGTGTATGTGTTTAAAAGATGTTTAATAGACGTTAAAGCATAGACTTAACCTAAGCAGGGCTGAATTTAGTCGGTGAGAATCTAATCTAAAAGATAAACTAGTCATGAATAGACAGGAATAAATGACTACATATGAAGTATAGTACTATAATACTATACTATGGTATAGTATAATATTTTGAGACGTCTATAATAGACTTTCACTTACAGCACAAATTTAACCTTGTTTAGGCCAACACATCTATGTTTGGACGTCTTTTTAAAGTGGTGGTCCACTACATTATCATATTTTAAACTTTATTTGATGTGTAATGTAATTGTGTGAACATAAACTACAACCCTGAATGTAATAAGCTCAAAGTTCAATGCAAAGTGGGACATTGGCTTTTACAGAGTTAGCTTAGCAAAGTAATATTATGGCAGAGAAATCTAAAATGCCGTCAAAATGATACTATTTCCACATGGCGTGTTCTGTTTCTGTATTTGGGCTTCCAAAGGACATGACACAAAGACAGAAATGCTTAAAGTTTCATTTTAATTGTGTTCCAGAGAATAATAAAAACATATAGCTAGCATTTGACAAAGGGCAGCTTCCAGAATCTCTCACAGTTCAGTGCTGGTTTAGTTTAAAAACTCCTCCAACCGACGAAGCTGTGAGCCACAACTTGTAAGTATTTTTAGTTTGTTAATATTGATCTATTACATACAAAGTTTCTTATGTAAACGGAATGTTGTACCGAGGACGTAAACGAGAATGTAAACGATGGCAAATGCTGTTTGGCACCGCAAACAATTTAGCTACAATTCATATTCATCAGTGAAACCGCTGTAAACACTCACAATATTCACCAGGGCTGCAGTGTCTATCTATGCAGCCGCTTTTCCTGCATTCTACATCTCAAATAACGAACTCACCAAAGACATGAGTATGTTTTATATTACTTAAACATGATTATTCCGAATATATGTGAAAGACACTTGTCAGATTTTATTATAGAGAGCAGGCGTAAGATTTAGCTGTGTGCTCTTCATTGTCATCTGACAGTTTACACAGCACAAAAACGCGTGCTTGTAGGGACCTGACTTCGAGACGTGGAGCCAATCCGCGAATCACTACACATTATGTTAGCTGACCAATCAGAGCCTCTTGAGGGTGGGCATTTCAGAGGAACTAGGAAATATTTCATTTTCATGTTAGCTGAGTAGCTGTATATAGTGAAAGTAAGATATATAAAAAAATAACATGATTATCTACAAGTGAAGCATGAGCACACATTAATTTGCATCTTATAAACATAACCAAAACTTAAAAATATACTATGGATAACTCTCCCTTTAAACACAACATTGCTTTTTGGGTTGCTTAAAAGCTTACAAAAAAAGTTTCATAGCCTAAGGATGAATTTTCAACTGGCATCATTCTTAAAAATGTAACTAATGTTGTGCTTCCAGATCCAATCTCTAATTGTCTATATTACGATCAAGTAAATTTTTACCTGGATTTTCTGATCTTATACTGGAGTCGCAAATTTGTTTAAATAACACTTTAAACCAATGGTCCATTAGGTAATGTTAGGTAATGTATTTACAAACACGAACAAACAATTAGTAATACATATTGTACTGTATTTATTCATCTTTATTAACGTTAGTTAATGTTAACTCACTTTGCATAAACTAATATT